ACTTCACAGATCAGTACAGCATTTCAGACAACGTTCAGACACTACCCTCCTAATCTTCATCCCCTACCCGTGGTACTAAGGAGGACCCGGCTCCCGCCCAAAGATCCTGCCTTAACCTCCAGACGCCTCTTAACGGAAATGAATTAAGAGCGCAAGGAAGTGAAGGTATGGTTAAAGAGGCTCATGTTCCTTTTTCCTATGGTCCCTCGCGCGTTGTGTTCGTCACCAGTCACTCGCGCTCTGCTCTCTCGGTTGTTTCTACTCGCTCAACATAGTGATCTCAAAACGCTTAAATAGGAATCCGCTGCTTATTCCATGCAAACTCTATAAACAAGGATACGATAACCATGGGTTTCCCCTGCAGGATGTAACCGTGTGCATCTCTGAGAGCCTTTTTTGCCTTCTCTTCACTCGGTAATGTAACAAAAGCTTGGCCCTTCATGCGACCTTCTTTCATCAGCCGGATGTCAAATCTACAGCAAAACAGAGCAGTTTTGATCCACATAGAAAAACAAACTTCATGCTTGTATTAACAGAAGGTGAAGCAGAAAAACGTAGCGTTATCTTTCCTACTCTGAATAATTTCGATTGAGGGTCGTAGAATCAGAACAAAAGCAGCCACTTTGAACAAAAATAAATGTTACGAGTCAATGAGGATTTAAAAGAAAAAAAAAACAAACAAAAAAACAAGTAACCTGCCTAAAGCGCAGGAAAACGCGAGTGACCAAGTCCCTATTAGTTTTAGTTTTGATTGTGATTGATTGAGAGGGTGGCGCGATATCTTTAGAGCAATCAAAGAACGAAGTGAAATTCCTGATTACTCTGTTACTCTACCGCAACTTTATCAAAAGAGCAAGGAAAAAAAATCAAAGGTCAACAGTGATTTCTCAAAGGCTGTAATCGAGGAATCCAACAAAAGATTACCGATCTGGTCGATTACTGTAATTTCATTGAGACAGAGTTTACATCTAGTATGGTAAAATTTACTGAGGAAAATGATCGCCCAGCCGATCCAAGACATACCTCAAGGGGTTAAGTATGAGAATAACAAACAAAGTCTGACCCGCTGAGATAACCTCTCTCAGCCATTTCTACATATTCACGTAGATCCAAGACATACCTCAAGGGGTTAAGTATGAGAATAACAAACAAAGTCTGAC